TTGTCTCTGATCGATCGCCATTGCCGGCGAATCTGAATCTGAGTTATCCCGGCCATCTCAGGGCTGCGCCCCTATCGCCATAATCGCCGCCGTTCACAGATTTCTCTTCTCCTGTTTAATTGGCACTGATAACGAACCGACTGGCCTGCGACAGGGCTTATAAAACATGAGCTATTACCGTTTAAAAAACAGCTGACACACAAAGCCCTATAATCGCCAAGGCATCGCCGGAACACATCGACGACACACGTAGACGCAAATATTTGATCAATAAAACAAGAATGGAGGGTTTGTTCAGGTTTAGGGGGACTGCAAATACCCTCACCCACAGCTAATTGTTCGAATTTTCTAGATCTTTTGTGCATTATGAGGCGCAATCTGCAGCAATCGCTTTGGGATTATCTAAAAAAACAAACGGATTGTGTACTATCCTTTCTATGACGTGATATAAAATCAAAACTAAGATTTTCAGTTATTCTATCCACCAGATTTTCACACTGCAAGATTGCAACTAGGGAACATAATGAACAGCGAAAACACAGAACTAAGGAAAGAAACAAAGAACTACTATAGGCTGATTTTCACTTGATCACTTATTACTTCAGATAATTTATGGGAAAGCTTGTAAGTGCGGAATATGCAAAATATTACATACATATCTTTGTACTGAAAAACAAACAAGCCAAAGATAATTTAAACGTATATTACCTTTATCACTTCCCCTTTATGTAAACATCTTATGGAACATCTATAAGCTCATAATATAACACTGTTGTGTGGCGTTCATTTAAAATGAATTATCCAATGTCAAGTTATTTGTGTTTCATTCGATGGTTTACTGCATATTCACTGTTCATTTTGAGATCTTTAGCTTATCGATGTGAAACCCCCAGAAAACAGATCTTAACTTAAATAACACACTTTTTAAAATAAACAAGTCAATGCCAAGTTAATTGGCTTAAATCGATGTTGTTCCACACTTATATGCACTTTCCATATGGAGATCGCGATTTTTTTTTAGAAATTAAGCTCTCAGAAATTATAAATCAAACATAAATAACAAACTTTTGCACTACTAAAACTGAAATCGAATAAGCTACTGCCAAGTTACGTGGGTTAGATTGGTTATAGATCATAGTTTGCAAACCTCTGCTGGCAGTGATAATGCCCAGTTGGGAAAGTGAAATGAAAACAGCGTTTTGAAGCAACTAAACTGAACTGAATCGCTGGATGTTGGATTTTGATGTTCGTTGATTTTCGCCAGGGGCGTGAGCAGCGAAGGGGGCGTGGCGGCACAGCGTCAATTCGACTTGTCTTGTGATTTTCGCTTCACAATTGGACAAACGAAGCGCAATTGGAGGCACCCAGTCTGAGATTATCGGATGCTTCGATGATTGGGTGTGTGGATGTTTGGATGTTCGGATGTTGGCATGTTTGCATGTTTTGCGGGGACGTTTTTGGGGACTGACTTTGTGGGGGATTTTGTGGGGTGGGAAATGGCAGTTCAATTACATAAAATTACATACATACACTGCAGTTTGCACTTGCAGTTCGTCCGCAGTGGGGGAATTTGGCTATTCTAACATCGCAAGCTGCTCCCACTGGCCATTACTAATTGTCAACAGTCGCTGATTTGTTAAGTACACTGCTTATCACCGAAATAGCGCGCATATCACTAAAAACTCAGACGACGACGAGCGAAATGCGAACGCCAAACAACAACAAAGAACTGAACAAAAAATACCCAAGTATTGGTAAACACGCGCGCTACGCGGACGCCAGTGTTGCACAGCGTCCGAGCAGCGCTGTTATGCACGATCACTGTTAAAGTTGCAGAGAGTATTTTTCACTGTTCTGTGATTAAAATAAGGTGTTATGAAAATGTATTCATTAGATAATGTTCCATTCTATTTTATTACTGAATATAAGTCGTTTATTTGACTTTCAATTCAATTGTTATTCAAATAATTGATGACGATAATCAATGAAATACTAATTAAGCATGTTTTAATTTTAAAAAATTTGGCTTCTTTTAAGGCGGCACACAAAAGTATTTTTTGGACCACTGTACTGGCGGTTTTAGTATCCTCTAGTATTTTAGCATATTTTATACTATATTTACACATCTTCCACTACGGTCACACTGCCATATCGACGCAAAACAAATTGCGATTTTTACACCACAAGAAAAAGAGGAAAAGCACCAATTTAATCCGTAATCTAGCTGACACAAAGATCTCCAAACAGTCGCAGTCGCGTCCCGTCCCATGAGTGCGAACCTGAAGAACATCAAGCTGGCCCACTTCGGGGGCTCTCTCGGTTCCGGTGGCTTTGGCATTTCTGCGTCATCCGGAGGAGCTGGAAAACTGCCCACAAATGGCACAGGTGGCGGCAAATCCGCTCCAGCGAGCTCCTACATAGAGTCCGAGGTGCTGGCCACGCCCGGAGGCGTCGTTATACCCATAATTCGCACCCGGGACGTGCCCAAACTGCTGCCCACCATCGGCACGGCACTACAGCGTCCGGCAGATGATCATTTGGCGGCCGAGGATCTGGATGCAGTGCAACTGGAGCTGGAACAGATGCTCTCCAATGTGGCGCTGCGCACGCGCGTCCTTAAAGCGGAGTATGATAGTCTGGACAAGGATGAGAAGCGCCAGGATCGAAGAAAGCTCGACCGTGTGCCTGGATCGCCACCTTGTCCAGCCAGCATGCTCAATGGCCTGCTGGGTATCGGAAGCAACTCCTCTGCGAGTCTGGGCAGCCCGCTGGGCGGTGGAGGCGCCTCCTCCTCCAGCCAATCCAAGCGCAAGCGGGATGAGCCAACGGGCGTGCGCAAGAAGCACTCCTCGATGACCATTCTAAAGCAACAGGGCATTTCCGGTGGATCCTCGAAGCACCAGGCGAAGAACAGCCCCTTGACCGTGCACACCGACGACAGCATGGACTATCTGCCCACACTGGTTGCAGCCAATGCCTCTGGATCCGTGCTGCCGCACCACCAGCCGTTGCCGCAGCTACCCAAGGTGGCGGTGCCCAAGAACGATACGCCAAACAAGTTCTGGCTATCCGTAGAGCCCTACTGCATGCCGCTAACCAACGAGGATCTGCGCTTAATTGATGACCTGCTGGAGCAGTATTGGGGTCCACTTGTGCCGCCAGTGCCCACTCTGGGTCCCCATTACTCCACAGTTTGGGCCCAGGAGGATATGAAGGCACTGCAGCCAGGCGGAGCACGAATCAAATCGCACAATTCCAGCGGAATGCTCAAAAAAGCCGACGGAATGGTGGAGGAGAGCATCACTGGTCCACTTACCCAGCGATTGGTGTCCGCCTTGATGGAGGAATCGCTGATGACGCTGCCCAGCGAACAGGCCGCGGTGGGCGAGCACAGCAACAGCACCACAAGCAGCAGCAACGAGAACACCCACTCGCATTCCTCATCCTCGGCAAATGCTGCCGCGGCAGCCGCTTCCGGGAATTTCCGATCCCTCGCCATGATGAAACATGGCGTGGGCATTGAACAGCGTCTGAAGAAGACTCTCATCGAGAACGGCCTGATCGATGCCAGTGAATTTGCGGCCCACGAAGACGTGGACGAGGTGCTGATGGAGATCAAGCGAGTCACGACCGAGATCAGCTCTATTTCGCAGTTCAACAGCGAGGAATTAAAGCGACTGCGTGCCGTCGCCAGCGAGGAAATCAAGAGAATTGCCATCAAACGGAAACTGGACACGGTGGACCAGGAGATACTTGAGTGCTACAAGCGGATGTTGCAGTATCGAGCCAAACGCAAGGGTCACACCTTCGAGGAGAAGCAGGAGATAATCCGGCTGACCAACGAGCAGCGCCTGCTGGCGGATCAGCTGGAGCGGATGCAGATGCATCTGCCCTGCATCGGCGGCGCCGGCAGCTCCCTGCTCGAACCAAAGATGTAGGACAGGACCCTGGCCTGGGGCTGGTGCCAGCTAATGGCCATGCATCAGGCAAAGAGGCAGGTCCGGGACGCTAGCCTCAAGCTGCAGTGCGTCTGAAGGAGTTCCGCCTCCGTCTCGCCTCCTTTCTTTTCGCCAGACTGTAAATTAGCCAAGATATTCACCACGTACCATCTAGTGTACGCAATCCAAGGTATGGATAGTTAGGGAAATGCGCTCAATGTGGCGGAAAAAGTTTTGCATTAGTTTCCTCGAGTCAAACGCCACATCTGAGTCTTTTTCCACTAGCTTCCAAACCCGTATTCTTATCTTTGTCGCCAGACTGTACATTAACAAAGATATATAGCTTATAGAATGTAGAGTTCAAGATTAAAGTGAAATTAGTTATTTAGATAAGAACTGCTTTTAGCGTTTGGTTATTTTAAACTGTTCTTTTATAAAATCATAATTGTGCTTCTTTACAAAGTAGCGTTTTTCGTAATTTGTTTGCAATGCCTGAAAATGAAATACGTATACATCCGCAGATTCTACATGCGAGATTTGGTTTTGTGTACATAAATATTGAGATTCATTATTGGTTAATGAACTGAAAGTTTTACTTGCTGCAATTTCGTACATTTTACGAACCGCCTTTGTGGAAAAGCTTTTTCTTGTTTTTCGCAACTATAAATATTGATCCACCCTATTTAACACACCCAAACACATACACTTTGTATAGCTTAAGTAATCGCGCGGCAATAAAGTTGTCACTATCGAGAGAAAACCACAGAATTTTCCACCATGGGAGTTCGGAGGAGAGGAACCACCGCGCTGGGTGAACGCTGCGCACGCTTTGAGCTCGATCTGGCCGGCGGAACGGGCCAAGTGAACTCCAGCGGATGTGGGAAATCCTCCAGTTCTCCGATCTTGTTTGCCCAACCGATAAGGCGCAATCAAAGTCGGCAACTCCGGTGTGCGGCTAATTAAATCCAAACAAGCGGGCCCCTTCGATCGAAGGAAGCTCTTCCGGGGACCGCGGATTCTCTATCTCGATCGGTAATCGCCAGGCAAATATATCAAAAAACAAACTTCATTGCTGGTAGCAAAAGGCAGTAATATTATATAGGTAATATGCGAAACTTAGTCTTTAGTGAACACTCCACTGGCCTTTCTCTAAATGTAGGTGTTGTATGTACATATGTGTAAAAGATCGATTGTACTTCATGTATGCTGCGGTGCAGTGGTGCAGCTCGACAGGTGGATCCCTTCCGACTGCCTCCGGATCCCATATCACAAACGCAGTCACAGTCTTTCGTATACTATGTGTAGTGTGGCAGCTGTCAGCTAATCGCCGAGGGCTGCAAACTCATCCGCATAGGTGGACATCAGATCGGAGCGACAGGAGACCTGGATGTCCGAGGCATTGGCCTTGAGTCGCACGTTCTCGTCGTTCGTGAGTAGCATCATGTTGGGAACCTGGTCCTGCAGCTGCAGGCAGCAATTTATAATGCTGTCGTCCGGGCAGTCGACTTTAATCAGATGATCCGCCTCCTCCTCGGCGGATTGAGCTGCAGCACAGGGAATCACGGTTAGTTGGAGAGATAATACATACATATATACACAATCCACGACCCACGACTCACCTTGTATTCCCAAGCTCTCATCGAACTTGGTGTTCAAATAGCGTATTGCTCGCACGGCAACCAGTCGCTTTGGATTATCCGAGTTGTACTGACTCTTCAGCTTGTCGAGCTCTTTGATTACTATGTAGGGAATGTACAACATGCTCCCCACCGTACCTGGCAACACCAACTCGGTCAGACTCTCCACGAACTTGATGTTTTGCATCAGAACGTTGGTGTCCAGCACGAAATACATGAGGTCCACAAGCCGAGTGGGCAGCTCCTCGCCATCGGCTGCCTGCCGCATCTGCAGAATGTCGTCCTCTTCCTTAGCCTCATCCTGATCCTTCTTTGGGGACTCGCCTTCAATGGACTCCTCCCATTCCATGGGCTCGGGCTTTATTTCGCTGGACGATGAGCCATTAAATGCACTTGGATTTGAGATGTTACAGTTCTCTGCTTGTTTTCCGACGACCTTTTCGTTGATCTTGGCCACATCATTGTTGTTGCGCTCTTCATTCTGCTGCTTCTGCTGCAGCAAAGTCCTTAACTGCGTGAGACGCTCGTTGGCTAAGGAAACGATAAGTATATTTTGGTAAGAGAATCTATATGCACAGAGTACTCACCACTTTGGGAAGGTCCTGCCTTCAGGCGATTGTTGGCATCCACCAGGGCTTTTGGCTTTTCCCAGGCGTTCCTGGGTGACGCACACATGACCACCTTGGTCTGTGCCGTCAGACGCTTGGGCGTGGATGTGTATGCACTTAATCGACGATTGGGCGCCGAATCGGGGGTGGCAATCTGCGATGTGGAGGAGCTGCGGGTGATCCGCTTGATGGTCTCCCGCTTCTTCTCATTGTTCCTGATGGGTTTCTTGTCCTGCACCCGCTTCAATTGGGTCTGCAGCCGCTTGAGACGCTCCTGGGCAGGCTGTTTGCCCGTTCCTGGAACCACTGCACGGATAATTGCGTTCGATCATGCCATTTTTTGGAAAAGGCGTAGTTTTCTTGGGAGAAAATCTTACCATTTGACAGCCGTGGCGTGGTTATCAGCTTATCCCGCTCGTCGTCGCCCAAAAGGCGTCGATTTGATGACTTTGACGTGTGCTCGTTTCTGCCCCCGGACGACATTTTGCGCTCCTCAACATTTGATGGTTAGTAAATATACATTTATTGTTGTTATTGTAACATCAATAAGAGTTCAGACTAGAGATGGACCGAACGCACGTGACGCAGCGATGGGCCTCGTGTCACGATAGGGGTGGAGGTTTAGAACGAACTCGTTCTATATATATAAAAAAGTAACAAGTATATGTTATTCCACAGCATTAGTTATTATTAAGACAACTAATTAAAGCACATGAGTACTTGATTGCTTATAAAAAATGTTCTTGAAGTAAACAGTGGGAGCCAGCGAACCTTCCAAATAAAATCTACGGTGTTTACCGGCTCGAGGTAATTTCTGTTTTAAAGTTAGGACAAAATCTTACATACATAAGAACCAAATTTATGAATTGAAATCAACTGCAATTTGAAAGTAAAACAAATAAGTCAGTATTCTTTAGCGGTATTTTGCACTAGACATATACGGTCACACCGCACGGTTTCGAATCGCTTAATAAGTTTTTGTTCAAAAAGCTTTCCCGAGCACTAAGTAACCACCGCTTTTCGCACCCACAACACATTTCGCCAGAATAATGATCAAGGTACGTGGGGGTGCTGTAAATAAGGATCACACAGCGATTACGGGGGAATTAGCGCAGTAAAAGCGACCGATGACACGGCGGCCGGGGTGCAAAGTCCAATTGGGATCTGAACTCGTGTCTATTATAAACATGGAGTCCCATAAATAACTGTATCTCTGCCCACAGCGATGTACCTTGTACCCATCCAATAATTAGCATTACTTCGCCACAAGTTATACAACAACACACTGCGGCTTATCGGGAAAGTGGACACCAAACGCATCTGTCAGCTGCTCGCTAAAAATACGATTAACCGGCATCGGATTATTAGTTTAGTTGGGCTTTTATCTGCAAGTGAGGATCGTGCTTTCTCTACATATATATCATTTTATAGGCAGCTTCCCAAATTAATGCAAACCAAATGACATTAGGCAGTAGTTGCACAGCAGATAAAGGTAATGATCTCAGTCCTTCAGATCGTATATTCTGAATTCTATAGGCTTATTTTGTTGGTATCCCTAACTCTTGTAACATTGATTTTGTAGTGGGGATTCAACGGAATATAGCGCATTATTAGACTCTGGTTCATTAGTCCTGACAAGCAACAAGTAGATACTAACCCTATGCCTTTCCTTTCTCAGAACGCCGTTTCCCTGGTGACTGGAGGAGCCTCTGGACTGGGTCGCGCCACCGCCGAGCGCCTGGCCAAGCAGGGTGCCAGCGTGATCCTGGCCGATCTGCCCTCCTCCAAGGGCAACGAGGTGGCCAAGGAGCTGGGCGACAAGGTGGTCTTCGTGCCCGTGGACGTGACCTCCGAGAAGGATGTGAGCGCCGCCCTGCAGACGGCCAAGGATAAGTTCGGTCGACTGGATCTGACGGTGAACTGTGCCGGCACAGCCACCGCGGTGAAGACGTACAACTTCAACAAGAACGTGGCCCACCGGCTGGAGGACTTCCAGCGGGTGATCAACATCAATACGGTGGGCACGTTCAATGTGATCCGTCTGTCCGCCGGACTGATGGGCGCCAATGAGCCCAACCAGGATGGACAGCGCGGCGTGATCGTGAACACCGCCTCTGTGGCTGCCTTCGATGGCCAAATCGGCCAGGCGGCCTACTCCGCTTCCAAGGCAGCCGTGGTGGGCATGACACTGCCCATTGCCCGCGACCTGAGCACCCAGGGCATCCGTATCTGCACGATTGCACCGGGTTTGTTCAACACTCCCATGCTGGCCGCTCTGCCGGAGAAGGTGCGCACCTTCCTGGCCAAGTCCATCCCGTTCCCGCAGCGCCTGGGCGAGCCCAGTGAGTACGCCCACCTGGTGCAGGCCATCTACGAGAATCCGTTGCTCAACGGCGAGGTCATCCGCATCGATGGCGCCCTGCGCATGATGCCCTAGATCAGGCTTGGCCCGGCCTTGGACCTCTGGAAGTGGCTCGATCAGTTTGCATTTATCTATTGTCTAGTGGTTAAGCTGAAAAGTTTTATTATCTGTCCCGAAATTATGTAATAATTGCTATTAAACACACATTGTCACATTTGAAATTTTGGAGGCGCGTCTGCGTGCTGCTTTTCAACACTGGGCCTTGCCGGCCTCATGCCGGCCTTTTATGGGGTAACTGGGGTGTATTGGGTTGGAAAGCTGATTGCAACAGGTTGGTTCATGTTCGATAAGCCAGTATTACTACTGACCAAAATTGTTGTCAAATTGCTTCTAAAGTATCAATATCAAATACCAAATACATTGCAATAAGACTATAGTCTATAATCATATTTATGCTTATATTTACAGTAAATACTTATTTAATAGAAGGGTATCTGTAGGCCAGTGCCCTTTAAGAATTTTCTGCTGTACCCGCAGGTTGGCAGCTCTGTTTCAAAATGTAAACATTGTACATTTGAAAATCGCTTGCCAGAAGATAATGCCGCCATATCGGCGCTGCTCAGCCGGAAACTTCCTGGCAGAGATCAGAAGGATGAACCACTTGTCTAGCAATCAGATCCCATGGGAAAACAAGACCAGAGGAATTGAAATGGGCGAAATCCCCGACAAAAAAGGAAGCACAGGTCAACGAGGCTGAGTTTCATACAGTCCAGCACAGATGGGGGAAACGTGAGCCAGTAATATATTTTAATGATCCTCAAACTTAGCTTGTACCCGCCTTCCACTGCGTCCACTGATGCTCCAGATGCTCTATGTGAACTATGTGAACTACCGAAACTACAGGCCGCGAAGCAAGGCTGTGAAAATGATCTAAATGATCCATTTAAACTGTCTCTAACCAGCCGGGATTTGGCCTCCAATGTTAAGCAGCTGAAAGATGTATATTTTCGGCGAAAGCTACGTCCCAAGGAGATCACAGAGCCATCAGCCATCCAGCGAGCGTATTCAGTTTCTAGTTAAAAGCCCTCCGGCGACGACCAATCTCCAGATGATGAGAACATGCGCTGAGGCATTGACAGTGCGCCAGCTAAATCAGGCTGCCAAGGGTCGACTACTGGAGTTGTACCGCATTGAACTGGCACCACAAGTAAGTCCGCCGACAGCAGAACGAGCGGGAGGGCAAGCTTTTTACCTGATCCTCCACTTTGAAACCACTTATCACATTTGTTGCGATTCATCACCACCGGATATTAGACATTCGCACCTTCCTATATATAAAAAGCATTACTCGACCCATCACGACCGATAGGATATCTATATACATATATAGGCTATATATACGCTGGTCAAGGCCCTGACATGCTCCAGTTACCCAGAAATTGCCAAAGTCCAAGTCGGCAGCCTACAGAGGCGATTGCCCAGTGAAAACAAAACGATACGAATGTGGGATATCGTGTGCATAGGGAGAATAGCAACTCCTCCAGTGGATTTCACACATAATCGTCAATTCTGTGACAGCCAGTTATATTTATATGTGTACCGCGGGCTTTGGCATTTGTTTGGTTCTCTGGCTATCTTATCTGGAGTGTCGGAGTGGCCTGCGACTGTGGAACAATTGGAAGTGCGATAAGCGTCCACAGAATTCCAACCGCTCGCCCCAGCCAGTCAGTTGAAATCGGAGCTGCCTGTGAATTATCCACAATCCATGACCGACCGGCAATCGCGCCTCTGATACTGCGTCATCCGAATCCCGAGGAAAATCCATAATCAGAAGCCCCAGAAGTGATTTGTGGTCGGTCAACTGGTGTGCAAGGTGTTGCTGCTGTTGCACTTGCAACATCTTTGGGCAACATTGTGTGTTTTGACAGGAATAGGCTCTTGAAAAGCGCAAGAGGTGAGTGGCTACCACAGTGTGCACCGACTAAAGACTTCGACTTCCATTGAGAACCTGTATTTCATACTGATTTACTAGAGTTTGTCTCGTTGTACGTTATATTCATACTTTTTTCAATGAAAGCCATTTGGTTTTTATTCTCTCATGAAGGCTATCTAAAAAATAATTTGTAGTTCACCGTGCTCACTGTGCTCACTATCTTCACTTAAATTCAATGGTCATAAACTAATTATAAACACGATTATTTCTTTTTGCACAGTTCATACACATAACGTCACTGGGCAACAGAAGAAGTCGAAGGCGAAGGGTTCTCCACTGGTCAGCTGCCTCACCCGGCGGCGATAAGCCCAAGTGCAGCGAATCGAGAAGAAGCCAGAGTGGAAAGGGTGTTGGAAACCCGATAGCCGAACCCAGCATCATGCAGACAACGACCAGTCAGCGACCAGTAACGCCTGGCACTCCAGACTCGGCGCATATTGTAATCGGCGCCGCGGGATTTGTGGCTCACGAGAGACGCCAACCCGGAAAGACCCTGATGAATTGCTTTCGCGATCGTTCCACGACATCGTCGTCATCGTCGCAGGCCCAACACGCCTATATGCGTGGTCACAGTGTCACCTCGGGCACTCTGTTTCGCCTGGAGGGCAGTGGGGGCTCCAATTGCACCTTGGATAAGGTGGGAAAACAGGATTCCGGGCGGCCCGAAGCGGTCGTCCTCCTCAGAGAGCTGAAAACCAGACCCAACAAGCTGGCGCTGCTTAAGAGCAGCAGCACCAAAGATCTGACCCGCCTGTTCCTGGACGATTCAACCAACACAGCTGTGCTGGTGTCCAACACCAGTCTCGATGTCTGCTCCTCGAACTCCAGCTCTGGCGGCAGTCCGGCGGTGGGCAGGTCCAAGTCAGGCAGAGATCGCCGCAGTCAACTCGAGTGCTGCAGCAGCTGCACAAAGCGCTGGCACGATCTCAAGCAGCGTATGCACACTCTGGAGCAGGATCTGCTCGTCCAGACCACGTACAGCCAGGAGCTGGAACAGAAGGTGGGCGAAATGAGTCGCCAATTGTCGGAACTGCTTCAGGAACGCGACAGGGAGAAGGACAAGGATAAAACACGCTTCGCAGGACCGGGCGGTGTTGCAGCTCATGGCAAGCGGACTGCTCATGGCAGTCCCAATGTCCGACCCTCGCGCCTGGTGGCTTGGATGAGCCTGTCCAACTGGTTCAAGAGCCGGCCCAGCGTGGAAACGCTGCGGGAACAGCGCATCTTCTTCGACGAGCCCTGCTTCGATACGGACCTGGAGATGGTTCTTAAGCACGACCAGCACCGCACTGTGCCGCGGATCGTTGTGGATTGCTGTGATCTTATCGAGCAAAAGTATCGCAGATCCGCGCAGCCCATTGAGGGGATTTATCGGCAGTGTGGCGATTACAATAAAATCCAAACGCTGCGCTTCAGCATCGACGCCAATGACTATGATTCACTGCGTCAGCCGGACGTGGATATACACACGTTGACCGGTGTGCTGAAGCTTTTCCTGCGCGAAATCAAGAGTCCGCTGGTCAGTGTCAACGAGGCCAAGACCTTCATTGGACAGCCCAATCAGTGGTGTAAGTTTGAAAGTATGCCTCTCCAAAGTTATGTTTGTAATCCTCTCCTACCCGCAGTGTTAACCGATCTTTCTGTGAAGTTGGATTCCCTGAAAAGACTGATTCGCTCGCTGCCGGAGAGTAACCGGGACACCATGGATTACATCTTCGGACACTTCAATAGGTTAGTGAATGCCCGCACATACTCGTGGAACATCTGTAGCACTTCACAACATATTTGAATTCATTTCCATTTGCAGAATAACCAAGGTGCCGTTGCAGCAGATCAGCGCGGAGACACTGTCCATATCGGTGACGCCCTCGATTTTCCACACGGTGCCGCAGGGCATCCACGTGCAGGACATCCAGCAGCTTCTGCGCGAGGGCGAAACTCTGGCCGACTGCGTCAAGGTGATGATCGAGTACCAGGGGCGCATATTCGAGTAAGTGAGCCCCGCTGAGGAGCAGCCCCAGTCTCCCAGGTGAAGGTCCATTTGGTGTCCGGGCGCCCGCTACTGTTACCTACAAACCCGAATCCCAGCCGCTTATGCCTCATCCAAACCGCTCACCTACTGTGCCGTTGTTTCGAACGCTTTGCTAACCACTCGAAATCCTGAACCTGAACCCGAACCCACTGTACCTGCCACACCAATCCCCATTCCCAACGATTCCGATCCCAATCCCGACCACGTCGTCTACAGATGCACCGCCGATCGCCGCCGCCTGAGCATGCGCAACCTGAAGAAGACTCTGTCGCAGCCGGACCTGCTCTTCCACAATCTATTCTGATCCGGGCCAATGACATCGATCCTTCATGCCAGAGAGAGCACTGTACATATGGAATGACTTTAGCCCCCACTACCAATTGGGTCCTACCATTATTTTTTTTATTTTTACTTCATCAACTTTTGTACTTATGTTTAATAAACTAAAAGGGTTTTCACCTTTACACAGCGTATAAGTTGTAAGTATTTGATCAATTCCATTTCTTTTCTATGGGCTACAATAATCATTTAAACTGCATCCATGCTGACTAATGCACAGATGGTATTACGAAATTCAAGACCCGAGCAACTTATCAAAAGAACACGACTTAATATTTTATTTTCACGGGCGTATATATATTTTTCTTCTATTTGAACTGCTATATAACATGGTGGGTGTTTTTGGAAGGGCGAAAAGGAGCTGGGAATGCAGGGAAATGCAGGTGACAAGGACGGAGGCAGCTGGGAAGAATCTATGATTTTGCAATACAGTCTAATCGTCACTAGAGCTAATATGTAATAGATATATGTTTTTAAAAACCAACTGGTTTTAAGTGCTATGTGGCCTTTAAACGTGTATATATATATATATATATATTAGATATATTGTATGTACTAGGTTTATATTAGCAGCCATTTCTCTGGACTTGATTTAACTTTAACATTACACTTTTGGACATATGTGGTAGGTGTACATATGCGTTGGCCTTTCGAAATACATATGTATGTGAATGTGTTGTGTACACGTAAAGCCATCTGATGTAGCGCTTCTTAATTAATGACAACGTATTGCGCCTGCTCTTCTGATCACAATTCGGGGTTAATCGATGCATGTATATGAATGATTTATATGATGTAAATAGGTAGGATTCTGATTCGGTTGCTTTCCAATGAGGGGTTCTACAGAACTGAGGTGTATGATTGCTCGGGCAAGCATCAAAATTAGATACATATCGAAGGCACAGGAATATTACACACATTTTACTCTAAGGGGTCGGGTTCCTCAGAAATTAATTTCAACTGAATAACTGGGTTTATTATGACAGCTTCCACATGCGCATCATTATGCGATTGGGTCAAGCTTACGCTAAACTCTATATAAAATCCACTCATTTCCGGTTCTGTTGCTTTGCTCTTAACATTTTCCCAACAATCAATTTGCGACGCTCCCGATGAAGTTTTGCAATCTTACTTAAAGAACGGGTTCTTAGATGCCGATGATTTCATGGTGCACAAGATCTGACGTTCCAGCTGAAAGTCATAGTCCAGAGACTTGAGCAGCGTAGAGATTTCTGGCAGTGTAGGTATCTATGCAAATATCGAATTAGAGCGAGAGGTCAATAGCTACTGGATGCTTCACTCACATCATTCACAGCTTGGTTGCGCTGGAGCCTAACGTCCATGACGAAAGGCACTCCCTCCAGCTCTGTGTAGGTGCCCAGTGTGCCCGTTCCGCCGTAAGTACCGCGTCCTCCTCCGGAACCCACTCCCGCTGGCCGAGGTGGCGCCGGCCGCTGTGGCGAGTTTATTTGATAGTTGGCTTGGATCTCTTCATAATCATGGTGTTCAGTCGGTGGTTGTGGCAGCTGCTTGGTGAAATGGGCAAGCACTGTCAGTAGTTGAAAACGGAATTAGCTAGGCGTACGACTTACTGGTCCACGTGAGTTGCGTTGGCCCTGGAGATTCAGGCGGTTCAGGGCCTGCTCCACCTCGCAGGTGGCTGGAGCTGGCACTCCCCCACTTGGCACTGGTGGCGAGAGGCGCACCGGAATCGCGCTCGTTTTGTAGCAGATAAGCACTCCGTTGATATCGCCGGCCAGCTTAAAGCCATCGGGCGCTGCCTTCAACTTGGAGCAGAGTATTATGTCGGTGACCGCCTGGGTCACAGTGCCGCGCTTGGAGAGCTTGTAGATAACCTGACGCTTACGCCAGGCCTTCTGATCACTGTCGGCAGTGCGGGATACCTGGGAGAATTCCTTGGGCGGCGGTGTTTTATCCGAAATCACTCTTAAAACAAAAACAAATGTTAGTAATCAAAGGGAAATAGAGTCCAAAGAGTTGAGCTCACTGTAGCGTCTCCACCACGTATTCCGGCAGGCCCTCGGACTTGGACAGGCAGAGGTAGCGTGTGTTCTGGCGTCCAAACAGGCTGTAGTCGCGCCATAGGTCCGCATCAGAATCCTGGTCGTAGGTGCGGTTTATGGCACTGAAGTTCTTCGGGCAGCTAGAACGAGAAACACCTATTAGTATGGACGAATCACTTGAAAACGACCAACACCACACTAACCGCTCGAAATCCTCAACGATGTGCAGCGAGGTGATGGGTCGATTGTCCGGCAGGAAGCTCATTATGGAATTGAACACATTGGTGGTGCTGGCCAACCCAGCTGCATTGGACGCCTCCAGCGGAGTACCCAGTAGAGCCGTCGTGGATAATGCCGAGTTGGGTGCTGCGCCGATGCCGCTTTGGATGTGCTTGCCCACCTTGTTCATCGCTCGGATTCCTGAAGCAAATCACAGGCAGAACAATTAGTTAACTGGCAATTTGAGTTATGGCTCGTAGATGTAATTCGAGTTATATATTCTCTTTGCGGATACAACATGTTGTGTTGTTTGATGTGTATTATTTATTGAGGTAAAGTGAATATTAATGGATATAATTTATCCACTTTGTTGAGCTTTTGACTTAAATGGTTACGACTCCCAAGCCAATACAACCGATATCAAATAAATATTAAGTAATTTTTCGAAACTGCTCTTGTAGGAGCACAAACAACTTTGAAATACAAACCGGTACCGGTACCAAGTGCTTTTTCCCGCCCCACACTAGTGAATCATGATCGTGCTGCTGGGTTTTTTGCATGGCATTCTTTTGTAGGTCGCCCCTCCAGGGCCAGGTCCGAGTTTCTCTTTAACCACTCACATGCTCACGTATCCGAGGAAATGAAATAAACAAACTCAGCCGCACGTTCGAGTGCGCACTTTACAATAGAATATAGGAGATGACTCTCGTTTTTATGGTATTTGGGTTCTCTGATTGTCAATATGTTTTGTATTAAACTACTGATAAGATATACAAGCCAGTTGACGACCGGCAACTCTGAGTCATCCAGAAAGTGTTAAAACCCACTGCAAAATGCAATAAAAGCTCGTTTTCAAGAAATCAAAACAAACGTTGGGCCAAGTATAACAGAAAAACAAAGCAAATGAACAAAGACGTGCTTGTTCTGTTAAGACATTATTATTGACATGAAAAAATCAGGGTAAAAGGTTAAAGATGCCATATACATATGATCAATGAAAAGAATTTTGTTCAGTTCATCATATGATACTACGTAAGTTTGCTCCTATTATCAATAATCCTATTATCAATAATTGCATTATTTTAACTACATTATCTCGAAATATGATATATACCACTCTTAAGTGTTGTTAGTAATGTTGTTTGTTATCATCGATCATTAATTAAGATCTTATTTTTTTCCTGTGCACACACTTTCTAAGGTTTCGAAAGGGAAACTCTTTGGCGCGCAGACAAAGAAAGGGGATTACAGATTGTACATAAATGTATAAGTCTGGTAAAGTGGGAAAACTCCGGCTGATAACCAAAGTGGAGCACCACATAGAGCTTAAAAATAGAAACAATTTTGAAGAGGCCGCACACGATTCCAATTATAAGTGCAAATTGCCAGGAAGTTCGAGTGGCTCCCCCAACTCGCCCCACTCAACTACACATCCATTTATACATTTATACTATCCCCCATCCGAAAAAAACATTAGTCAACACAGCATCCACACATATCCATTTACATATATATACGTACACAATTAACGATTCCCGATGGAGCGATTCGGGTTCGGATTACGACTATTGGCTCCGGACCACTTGGTGACTATGCAATCGCACTATGCAGGCCGCCGCGTCATTAACTGCATTTAATTGAATAATTAACGAATAATGTCCGATCCGGTCGCCCGATTTTATTTTAATTTGCTCTCGAATACGTTCGTCTTCTATTGTTTGGCAAAGAACAACAAAAAATGCACTGATTTATTTGTGATGGTGCACCTGCGATTCACTATTTTCTATATATCGATTGCTTCAAGCCGACTGTCGATATTGACTATCGATAATCCCCATCATATTTTCATCTAAAAAATATGTAAGTGCCTTTGGGGAATCTTTTCATGGGAATTTAATTCCTCCAGCCCCAGTCATTTGCTTACCAGTTTATCTACTCCTATATTTAAACTTTTTCAACATTATTTTAATATATTATATATTATATTTGATAAGCTTCTGTGCTGAGCTTTTCATTTAACTCTTAAGAACAGAAAAATTAAATTTGTAATACTCAACTTAAGCCTTATCTAAGAGTATATATCTTCTCCAGTTGGAACAAAGAAATAACCAGTGGAGTTCCGCTAGAACTCGTGATAGCGCCCGATAGTCGATAGTGCCCAACAGTCCCATCACTAGCCGCTATAGTGGCAATGTTCATTTCGGTTTTTAATTTAGCATAAACAAATTAAAGGCTGTCTTCATGGAGAAGGTGGAGGCGGTAACTGTGCCCAATGTGGATGCGTATCGGCGGCTACTGAACAAGGCGGTGTCCCAGCTGCTGGTGGACAAGGGCGCCGGCCAGGCGAGCAACCAGGGCCTGGAGACGCTCACCCAAATGCTGCAGGCGCGTAAGTGGATATGGGGACTACCCTTTTAGACCAGGATAACTATTTAGCATGCTATTTTAGTGATCGGGGAGATCGGCAACTCGGCGCACAACTACTGCGAGCTTAGCGGTCGCACAATGCCCACTGTGGGCGATGTCAGTCTGGCCCTCATCAACATGGGCATCTCGATCGCTAGCCTGGATCCGTACATGCGCAAGGAGACGCACGTGCCCATTCCACTGCCGCCACAGCAGACGCAGCAGCGCCCGCTGAGCCTGCTCCAGGCTGGCAGCAAGTCCACGCATCCCCACTATGTGCCCAGCTATTTTCCGCCTATGCCCGATCCGCACGCCTACATACGGACGCCCACGCACAAGCAGCCGGTAACGGAGTACGAGGCCATTAGGGAGAAGGCCGCTTGCCAGAAGCGTGACATCGAGAAGGCGCTCACCAAGTTCCTCTGCAAAACTACGGAGACGAACAACCTCTTTCCCACCGAGGACAACATGTTTCCTTGTAAGTGGCACCATAATAATCCAGTTAACATTTAATAACCTTTTTCTTTCAGTAATTGCCTGCAAGCCCGCCTTTCCTCCCTATGCAGCCGCATTGAATCCCACAGATCAGGTGTTTGACTTCGAGGAGCTGGAGTACCACTACCTGGTGGCCAATCGCACGGAAGATGTGCCCAGCAAAGGTGCGCTTCTCCCAAAAGGGCAGATCTCAGAAATACTAACACTTTCTACCCTTTCAGAGGACGGTGAAGAGGGCGATAGCGAAAACGAGGAGATGGATGGCGACAAGTCAAAAGAGGAGAAGCCCGAGCTGGAAATCAAGCCCAATTCCACCACAAACAAGGCCATTTTGGAAAACCCCAACATCGATAATCCCTATTTGCGGGCAGCTACTCTGCCAAAGCGATCCAAAGCAGGCCCCACACCCGGAATCATGCCCAGCAGGAGTCTGACCACTACAGCGCCTACGATACCAACGCCCTCCACTCTAGAGATAACCAAAACTAACGTTTAAGGTTAGCATGCGATTTGAATTATGGTTAGAAAGTGCAAACACTCCTGTTTCTTTTATTTACAACTTTCAACAATTGCACTCGTATGTGCATTCAGAAAATTTAAAATGTAGTTTTAGGTCAAAATTGGTAGACTAATATATTTTTTATTAAACTTACATATTATGAATCTTTATGTTTAAACTGAAGAAACTGTATAGAACTTTTCAGAAATTGCACAATTTTTCGTGTTATTTTTAAATATCAAATTAAAATTGTACTCCAACCACGATCTGTACTCGAACATCTGCAAATCGGCTATGTTCTGCAATCTGCAAACCGCTAATCCAGCGGCAAATGCACTTCCATCAAGGCAATTGAGGAAGGTCCAGTCGTGCCCTGTCCATTAAGATCAATTAGACAACAAATGAGGCATCGACAAGTGCTCTCCGAGATTTTGCATAAAAAGCCGGCTGTTCACCGTCACAATTGCAATTTACGGATTCACGATGTCGGACGCACTAGAAGAGCCACCACTGTACCTCACGCCGCAGTTCTTCAGGCGCACCCTGGAGCACGGATTGCAGCAGCTGGACTTGCAGGTCATCGGTGTCCAGTTGACCAACCTTACGCGCGGCGGGGAGAACTACTGCAGCAACATCTACCGCGCCCAGATTAAGTATCGCAATGCCGAGAACTGCGTCCTGGAGACATCCCTGATCGTAAAGTCCATGCCGGACGAGAAGCAGGCCATCCTAGCCCGCCTGCACATTTACAACAAGGAGACCCTTTTCTACATTGACATCAAGCCAAAGCTGGAGGCACTCATGTGGAGGGCGGTGGAAGTCCCCAGCGCCTGGACCTTGGCTCCAAAGTGGGTTCTAAGCTGCAACGTGTCTAGAAGCCATGAGTAACTCACGTTTTTCCATTTACAGGCACTACTACTCCACCACCCAGCCGGTGCAGACGATCATCCTGGAGGACCTGTGCGCCGAGGGCTACCAGCTGAAGTGCCGCCAGATGGGCCTGGACTTTGACCACGCCTCTCTGGTGATGGCCAAACTGGCCGAATACCATGCCCTCACCATGGTGATGGCCGAACGGGAGCCGGAAACCATAGTGGACCGCTATCCCTTCGGCCTGCTCCACATGGATGCCATCAAGTCGGAGCCCTTCAAGCTGCTCTTTGGCACTCAGCTCCTGAAACTGGCCGCCCTGGTGGGTGACTGTGAGGGATTCGGTGGGATCACCACAAAGCTCTACCGCTACCACGAGCACTTCACCGAGCGAGTCCTGAAGGCGGTGTACCCACTGCGCGGCAATCATAATGTCCTCAATCACGGCGATCTTTGGGTGAACAATATATTCTTCAAGTACGATGCGGAGTACACGGTGCACCAGGTGAAAATTGTGAGTACGAAATGATAGACGATGCAACCGCTGCTTTATTCACCAATATCCGAATATGAAGATATATAATATATTATATTATTATATAATATTTTATTTATTGCTTCATAAACCTGACCTTAAGGTCACTTTAGTTCACTTTAGTGAACCAGTAGCTGGTAACTACTGTTTACATCCGAATCGACTGATTTATAGCCACCCATTTCAGATTGATTTCCAGCTGTGCTTCTACGGCAGCCTGGGCTTCGACGTCAACTACTTCCTAAACACCAGCTTGGAACTGGAGGTGCTTCGTGACCGGCGACAGGAGCTCATCGACATCTACTACAGGTCTCTGGTGGACTGCCTGAAGCACTTGCCCTGGTCCAAGGACCTGCCCAGCTATAAGGACATCATGGAGGAAATCGGGAAGCGCGAGGCCTACGGTTTCTTTGTGGCATTCGGATTTTTCCCCCTGATGAGCATGATCGGTGTGGACTCTGAAGATAACTCTCTGAAGAACTTTCACGACGAGACATTCGCCAGGCAGAAGGTCCAGCTCATGTTCGAAGGAAACACTCGCACGCTGGAGAGCTTGAAATGCATCCTAAAACGTTTGGACGAGTTGAAACTGTTTGACTAGACAGTTCATAGTTCGTAAACTTTTTTTTTCTATTTCCGTTCAGACAAATACGTGTGAGGCCGATGATTTCCCAACAAACCATCTTATAAGAAACAAAAAAGCACAATGTAGTTTGTCGCCTGAACCATTAGATATCCATTGAAAATGCAATATTACAATTACAATACAATAAATATTAAACATTTATGTTTTATATTCGAGATAGAAATTCACTAGAAATTCTACTACTAGAATTCTACCATCTTAATCGGATTTTGAAGTGGCATACCTCTAAATGAGCTAGTAGAAGAAAACCTATCCCCTCCTGAAAATCTCAACTATTTTAAAGATTAATTCGCCCTGTATGAGTTTTTTGTGTGGATTAAATGATTTTGGGTACCGGAAGAAAATCAAAATATATAGGGAGGTAGAAAAAATGTGCGAGACTCTGTCTGTTTGTTTTTTTTTTTTTTTTTTGTAATTTAATTTAATTTACATTAAAAAATATAATTTGTAAATAATGAAATATAATAAATAATTCATCAATATGTTCAGATGTTTGGCTGTAGTTTTGAATCGTTGATCTGAATTATTTATAGCAGTTGAGTTTGAGTTTGAGTTTGAGTCTGAGTTTGATTTTGAGTTGTTTTAGTTGTTGCTGTTGTTGTTTATTGACTTCATTTCTGATCAAATCCATTGTGGACACATATATATGGCGAGATATATACATGCATATATATTTGCGGATATATATATATATTAATAGATTTATATAAATTGTATTGCTTCAGATAATTGTTGTAAATAAAATCCAATTATTGTTTAGGGCGGGAGTCACGGGTCAGTGGACACTAGTGGACGTGTGGACACTTAAGCTTCGGCCTCAACCTCCTCCTTCACCTTGGCATCTCCGGGCTTGCCCTTGGACCAGTCGGGTTTCTTCTGCTCATCCGGATGTGGATATCATGGCGGAATAGAGGAGAGAAAAAATAGGTATTAGTAGGCTCATGTTCCATGCCAACGGCCACATACAACATCTGGATGCTCGGTGCCGACACTAAGAACTACATAGTGATCTACATATACAAGTGACGTGTGCTTCAAAATAAATTGTTATGGTGGATGCACGGATTTGATCGACTTCTCGAGTGCAATGAATTCATATTTTCAATGGTTAATTTTGAGCAATCAAATTCGCATAACCCCACATCGAGTCTATTGTAACGTATTCGTGTGATTTAGAGAGAAAGTGTGTGACTATAACTACTGACTAGGGACAGCTACGATCGTTGAAAGACAAAGACAGATCACTGTGCGACAACAGATATAGAGAGAAAGATATAGAGCAGGTGCACTCAGGTGCTCAAGGCAAACAGAAGGATCTGGGTCACACGCACACACTGAGGTTCTTACACTTCTTGGCCTTATTTAGCACAGCGGCATCTTTTATCTTTTTCTAAACGTCACGGAGAAGATAGAGATATAAAGATTGGTGTAGTGTTTCGTTCATCGTCGTGTAGAGATTATAAATTGCATATCCCCCATCGTAGAAGTTCCCATTTAATGGGGGAAATCCCCACTTACCTCCTTCTCCTCCTCCTCCAGCGTGAACTCCTTCTTCTTCACCACCTTGAGCTGGTTGCGGAAGTTGAACTCAGCGGCCTTCTTCTGCAGCTTGGCGAATTTGTTTTCGTATTTGGAGACCTTCTTCAGGGCTGGCTTGACGCTAAAGGCATTCGAATGCAATCGATTAGTTTTCGCATTCCGGTCGATTATTTCGATTGTACTTACAACTTGCCGCGAAGATCGTTAACTTGGGCATTGAGATCGTTGATCTGTGGTACCACGGCAGATACGTTGGGTGAGTTGGAAAGAGAGAGGGTACGCGATTAATATGATTTCATCGACAATTGTCAATCGGTCTATCGACATATAAAGCTACAGCTACGGCGGGCAACTATCAAAATCAAAATGCTTTAAGAAGTTCTTTCCTTTTCACTAAATGGGGGTTATTTTACGCATGCAAAGGGAAACAGGAAACAGGAAACATGGGTTGCAGACATATAGAGCATACTCTACCATGGGCACTACCACTAAGTCGTAATGCTAAGTACTAGGTGCTACAACTAGGGCGTGCTGGCGTGCGTGGGTGAGTGAGTGCGAGAGCGAGTAAGCGAGCGAGCGAGCGAGCCAAGTTCTCTGCGGTCTAAACTGCCTAGTGGGAGCGAGACGAGGATATGGTGGTTGCGGTTCGGTTCGGTTCGATTGGTTGGTTTGGTGGTTCAATAGACTGGCGCTTTAATCGCGCCTCTTGTTGATTGAACAGCATAACATCCAAATGTCGATTGCTTTTGCTTTAATGCTTTATTTGTAGTTTTATAGAGAGTATTAATCGTTTATACATATTTACACTAGACAGAGACATAGTCAGAGTGATCAAGTGATAAAGATAGCTAGATAGTCGGAGTGAGTGAGAAGGAACGAGCGACGTTGGCCTAGCTGCAACTACAATGGAAATGGAACGGAAATTGAGATTGAGATCGAAACTGAAACCCAATAGGGCGACTGTGCTGAGGTACTGCTTAACGGTATTTGTATATTGTTATCATAATCGTTATCGGAACACTAATTACAGCCTCCTCTGCTTGCTCCCTTCGATATTTTGTTTTGTGTTGCTTTTTCTGCTTTGCTTTGCATTCTTGTTTCTCTTTCTTTCGATTTGTTTGTTCGGCTGTGCACGCAGTTTCATTTGGCATTTTGGCGGGTACGTGTAACGGTAAACAGTATCAGTAATCGGTAATCGGTATATCACGTTTAGTGGACTAGCATTAGTGATTCAATCGAGAAGTAATCGACGCTTGGCTCTTATGCTTTTCAACTTGGAACTCAGCTTTGCTTTTCTTTTTTGCGGCTTTTCGCGGAAAGGATAGTATAGAAACACAAAGAAAAGTGACAGAGAGACAGAGATAGAAACAGAGAGAGATAGAAAGAGAGAGAGATAGAGTGTGTGCGGCGATGGGATCAATTTACACAAACATTATTTACAATGAAGTGCGGTGGCTTGGTGGGCGGTGGACATTACTGGGCGTGGCTGATCGGGATAGGTGGTTCGTGGCTGCTGCTTGTCGGTCGGTTCGGTGTTTTATTTTTCAGATTTTTTTTTTCATGTGCTGCTGCATGCAAAATGTTGCGTGCTTGCGTGCGTTGCGTTTCGTGTGAGCGTGACTGTACTTTTCCTTCTTTTGTTTGTAAATTGTGATCGTGTGCTTTTGTGCTAGTGTGCTTGTATAATTTTGTTCTTGTAAATTTAAAGTTGAAATTGTGTTTGTGGACCGGACGCACAGACTGTGGTTCAGTTGAGTAATGGCGTAACGCGTCGACAGCGGCTCAAACAAATTTTTGGTTACAGTTAAGAAAAAAAGAGAAATAACACACACACAAAACAAAGTTCACAAATGGTGCAACAAACTAGTTATATTGCTGTTGTTGTAACTATTGTGCAATTTACTAATACTACGTAACTGTTGCTTGTTTCTTGTTGTTGTTCGATTTGTTTGTGATTCTGGTTGTCTGCGGTGTAGTGTGACTTATGAGCATACTTGGATTGCCAGTTAAATTGATATTTTTGCAAATAGGAAGTGAGGAGGTGCCATGTGACATGTTTGTTCGTGTGCTTGATAGCGGACTTAACCTCACTATGTGTATTTTCGGACATAACCTCACGGGGCACGACATCTGGTCACACTTCTAGTTGAATAGACTTTTCGATAGATTCGACAACGATTGACTGGTCAGGTTGGCAATCCTCGCGTTCTCAGCGGATACGTGTTTCCGTCTGGAGTTTTTGAGTTAAACGTAAGTAACAACGGCATTAGGAACTCGAAATTGAAATTAAACAGGGAGTAGTACGAATAAATAGTCACGATTGTGCGCCCCCACCGAGACCCACATATATGCTTCTGTATATATATATGGGCAGGGGGGCACGAGGTGGTTGTTGTTTTGTGAAACAGTCAAGTAAAACAGATACAAACTAAGAGACATATTTTTGAGATGCGCATTCAACAAGTAAGAAAGAAACAACGGAACTAAACGAAACGGAAACGAACATGATACTAGAACTCAAATGAATACTTTAGATAATCAAATAAGATTTTAGTTTTGATACAATTTTGTTGCATTCTGTCTTGGGTGAGTTGGTCTTATTAATATATATATATTTTTTTTGTTTTGATTGGTTGTTCTTTTGTATTCAGAGTTTTGACATTTATTGATTGATTGAGAACGATTGGAAAATTTAAATTGGAATTGTTGCAGTACCTCCCAGTCTTTTTTCCTGACTTCGTATTCCAGATCCCATTTCTGGCCTTCACAAATATACATACGCTCGTAATACTCTTCGCAAATCTCTTGCAATTCGCCTGCAAAAATATTGTATTTTTCGGGATTTGGTTTGACTTAAACTTTTAATCGGCGTTCGACGTTTGGTAATTTTCTAAATCTACGTATGACTAATAGTAGTTATGATTGGATTTATTGTTTATAGATTTTTCTTTTGGTTTATCGCAATACTGGTTATCGATATCTTATCGTTTGTTGTTTCGCAGCTTCATTAGATGTTATGTGTTCGATGAGTTTTTATTCTTCGATTTTTGGCTTGGTTTTCTCTTACTGTTTCTGTTAATGAATGGAACGGAACAAATCGGATCGGAATGAAACGAATCTTACAGAATCGTTACAGTTTACGTTATTGACCTATTGGGTACGCGTGATTTCCATGACCATATCGATAAACTGAGACTTATTATTTGGGTTTGACAATTAATGAAAGTAGTTCCTTATTATTTTCTCCTACAAGCTTCCACTCCGGCGAACCGAAGGCCTGGCTTGGGGGTTACGGCGGAGGAAGACGGTTCCCGGATCCGGACGGATAGACTATGTACACGGCGGCCCGGGAACTATTTCCCCCCAATACCGGACTGTTTGAAGCACGCGCCGATAAAACAATATCAAAATTAGGTAAACGAACAGAAGTATCGCAGTAAAAAACTAAAAATATGATTAGGAAATATTTAGAAATGAAATCAAATAATTAAATCAAGGGCATAATCGTAAAGTAGAGTTATGATTAATAATCGATTTATATATATGTAAATATCTTATATATTTTATTTGGCTTGATAAGAAAGAAAAAAACATTCGATTTTGGTTTCTTTTTTTTTTGAATTCGTTTTTTTTTTTTTGGGTGCATGGCAAAACTTTGTAAATCTTTGGGGAATTTACCTCTTGGGCCTTGACTTTCTGCACGTGTTCTAAATCAAACTTATCGCCCTCCAAACTGTATACGCGTTGCCAATATTGTTTGCATATTGTTTGCAGTTCGGCTGCGGTAAACGGTAACGGTAGCGGTAACAGTAGCGGTTACGAAACGGTAAACGGTTGACGTTTAACGACAGAGTTCGTTTTGCATTCGTATTGTATGTATTTTCGAGTGTGTTGGTATTGGTGTTTGTTTGTATGTGTGCGTGGGAGTTACGGATCAAAGAAGAGAGATAGATATATAGTGAAAGAACAGGTAGAGACAGAAGAGTGAAGAGAAAGAGAGTAAGATAGTAGGAAGGAGATTAGGTGTGGCATGAAATTGGAGAGAGTGACAGATATAGTCAAAGAAACAGAGTTAGATAGGGTCAGAAAGAAATAGAGATAGAATGAGAGATAGAGATGACGACAACGACGCATTGTTTGTTTCGAATTGAGTTTGGTTGTTCGTTTTTTGTTTGTTTGATTGTTTGAGTGATTGGTTGGCGCGTTTTGAGAAAAAGAAGGATTAGATTAAGATTTGATTAATATAAAGTTATTGATTGAACTCGATCTTTATCGCCTACAAATGTACTATGTGTAAGACAGTGTTGTGCTTTCGTTTCTTGGTGCAACATGAAGTGTCTGTAAGTGTCAGTGTCTTTTGTTGTTTTTTCGTGCGTGACTGTACTTCTGGGATGACTGTTTGCCTAAGCTCTGGTCACACTAGAGTAAAGTACTTTCCCCTAACTTAACCGTTTCGTTTTTTCATAATATATTCTTTCGTTTTGGTGGGTTAGTAGAAGCCTTATAAAAACTACAAAAATAGTACATGTGTTTTCCACTACAATAAAAAGCCAAAAAACTTGTAGCCACAAAAAAGCTTATAGCTAAAGCCGTAAAAAGCAAAAAACCCACAAATAAGGTGACATCAAAAATAGGTATTGTCAGCACTTGTTGCACTCGGCTTGGGTTATTAGTAAAAAAAGGCAGCGTAGTTATTCTCGATCCCCCCAATTTGGGTCCGATCTGAAGCTCTTATATTACGGATTAGCTGCGTTGACTAGGGCTCTACTTTCTATATGGTATATACGATTTTTGGGTGCTAACACCTCAGTATTATTATGGGGGCCTCGTTTGCACAGCTCTCTCCCAAAATGGAAACTATATTCAAAAAGTACATGGTGTTAACTACGGTTTCTACGAAGTGCTTAGTCTTTTTTTGTCTTGTCCGCCGGACAAACACACACACTAGTGTATATAGAGCTCCGAAATATTTGCATATATCTTTGGGCTGGTTGTGCTGCTGCCTCGGCTAGTGAAGTAGTTGTATATATTTAGATAGTTATCGACATGTTCTACGATCTGTGAGAGATTGAAACTATTGGAAACCGGAGCTGCTTGCCTCATAATCCTTTCTGGCTACCTCGTGCTCGAGATCGTACTTTTCGGACTCCAGTTTCAGTATCTTACTGTGGTAGTCCTTACAAACACTCTGAATAGTATCTGCGGAACGAAGTGTGGTTATCAAAACGGTTCGATCTGTATCTGGATAGGTGTTGTTTGACTGTGTGTGTGTGTGTGTTTATTTTTTCTTGGTGTGGGAGTGGGTGAGTGTATTTTTGTGAGACTAACTAATCTACACGATAAATGGCACCTACACTTCCATTCTTAAACAGAACACATCCTTACTTGAGGGACATATAGAAAGAGACCTGCATTAATCGGGTGAGTATACGGAGATACGGATACGCATACGGAGCTAATTGAGCTATTGAGTTTCTGTACAGTTTTTAGTGCCTGGGCAAATAACACTTTTCACGAACATATATAGAGTGTATTATACAGTAAACAGATTGAGAGTGAGATAGTGTTTTAGATATATAGAAAGAGACAGCTGACAGAAGGTGTTTAAATATATTGTAGTTGTTAAGCGTTAGCTTTTGATTTTGATCGAGGATAGACTTAGGCGTATTTAGGTGGCGTATAAAAAGTTTGGTGGTGTTCGTGTACCTCAACATCCTTGCGTTTAACAACATACTCAAGATCATATTTCTGGTCCTCCAATTTATTAATCCTGTCATAGTGTTGCTTGATCAGAGATTTGAGTGTGTCTGTTCACAATGGGGTTTATATTCGGTTTTTCGGAGTGGTTCGGAGTTGGTTGTGGTTGTGGTTGTGGAATGGGGTGTTGGTTGTGTTGGAGTGGGGTGGTGGTCGTGTGTGTGTGTGTGGATCGATTGGATATTTAACGGGCATGGGTGCGGCAAAAGAGAGATAGAGATAGAGACACATTTAGATACATGTTGCACACAGTGGTTCAGGCATAATAAGACTATGGTTCCTCTGCGACGTCAATGTGATCCGATGTGGGAGGTCAGTTATCCTGTGTATGTGTGCGTGTGTGTGTGTTTTCGGTGTCTCCGTGTTGGTGTGGTATGGTATTGTATGTATGTATGCGATAGATGACACTTGTTCAACTTTCAGTTATCGATTTCGGTTTATGCATCGCGACAGGCGGGCTCAAACATATTGAATGCATACCCGTCTGTCAATTTTACTGATTGATTTCGTTTATTTTGATTATACATTTATTCATCTTTTATACTTGCGATCCGTGACCAGGTGCGGGGAAACCTCTGGGAATTTCCCCTCGCCAGATCAGGGATCTTAACCATTCGGTTCGAGGACCGAGGCTACTCACCTTCGCTGGCATCGCTGAGATTCCTGGGACTGCCGCAACGTTCTTCAATGATGCGTCTACGTTCAGCCGCTTTGCGTTCCTGTTCTTTCTTCAGCTCCTCAGCGGCTTTCTTACGCAGCAGCAACTGCAAGTGGAACGATTATATTAGGTTGGCATAACTTTCCGCGAAACGGAAAACTTACCCTGAGTTTCTTCTTCCTCTCTGGGGTCATGAAACCCTTCTTGGCCTTCTTGGCCTTGGAGGCTTCCTCCATGCGCTTGCGCACCTCAGCACGCTTGCGCTCGATCTCAGCCTGTTTAGCCTTCTTAGCCTGCAAATCAAACGAACGAACAATCCGGTTATCAGCATGGTTAGCCCACATCCAAAACTGGACACAACACTAGATATGTTATTCGAACACAGCACTGCACAGCACGAGACTTGGACTCGACGTGGACGTGGAGTTGAACGGGCACACACGTACACAAGTGTACCTCCTCGGCCTTCACTTTGGGGTCGTTGGGATCCTTGGGCGGACCGGCGGGAGCGGCGGCGGCTGCAGGAGCAGCCTTTCCATTGGCCGCCGGAGCAGCCTTGCCGTTGGCCGCCGGGGCTGCTGCCGGAGCCGCCGGTTTGGCCGCCGCCGCTGGAGCCGCGGCCGGAGCTGCTGCCTTTTTCTGAAATCAAGGTAAAGGATTTCAATTTAGTTGTAGTTCTAAAAACCGGTAAAGTATGCCTGGCTCGGAGAAAATTGCTCGAATTACAAAGTAACTTCACGACCCATTTACATTTTTCGATGTTTATAAAACTCTATAGCCAAGTTAATTATAATTATTTAATTTTAAACTACTTTGAATATATCACAAATTTCTCCAGGCACAAAAGCACCCATAACAATAAAGGGACAAAGCAAGGCACAGAGACATAGACACACACTAACGATAACAGACATGGCTTTCAGTCAGACTTGACAGTTATCATTATCTGTGCTCCTTGATCGAAAGGAAGAAATGGCTGGGATGCTTGGGGTTGCAAAGCGCATCGATCCTGTGAAAGCAAGAGAAAGGCAAAAGAAAGGCAAAAGAAAGGCTTGGGTTGCAAGTGGGGGGCAGTAGAAGCTTCTGGATCTTTCGGGAACTCTGCTTACCTTGGTCCACATCCAGTCAGGGGTAGCCCCGTCCAAATCACTTCCATTTTCCAACACAGTGCTTGCGATAAATGCCCGAAAATAGTTAACTGCGGAAGAGGGTCAAAGGTTAATCAACCGTATGTAAAAGGCGGTGGGAAGGGGGCTGTTAGCGATACTCACCTCACCTCATCATCAGCCATTTTGATTTGTGTTTTTGGTTACTGAAAGTAAGAGAAATCAAGAGGTGAACTCAAGGAACTGGAACTGGAGGTGATTAGTGAATGGTGAATGGAAATGGAAATGTTCGATGACATCATTTCCATTGCCCTATATATACACGGCTATATGTAGGTATACACGCAGTTATATATACACATACGTATGTATTTATACATATATGTTTCATAAATCAGTCGCTCTCTCTCCCATTTGCACACGCCTACGATCTCACCGGGGTACCACAGTGCGTATGCGCAATATTGCTGGCTTATGCCGCACATTACGTATACGCAGCATTGGTCCACGCCGTATAAGGGGGCAACCCCAGCAACGCTCAATTGCTCTCTCTCTCTGCGATAGCATTTCTTTCGCACATTTACTTCGGCGTGGGCGTCTAGCTGCCAGAAAAAGACCACTGTATTTCTTTGTGGCTTTTCTAGTTTCTCTCTTTGATATCCGATTTCAAGTGAGTAAAGAGAGAATAGCACTTCCCCACTGAACGATCTCAGCCAGCTGACTTTGTTAATGAAAACTTTCCTACGATATGTTTTCTTTTTAATCAGCCTAAAAGTTGAATCGTTAACATAGAAGTTACTTTTAGATAATAAATAAGTTACTTTTACTATATTAGATGATTGAATTTACTAATGCCCTTTTCATAGGAATTTTATACTGTCTTTCAGTATTGGAGATATTGGAAATCTTTGAGTAAACATTTTACTGTACATAAAACTGTCAACATTTGTCAACTGTCAAAATGAATAGGTAATGAAAGAAAGCATATGTATATAAATGTATTTTTACAGAAACTAATTCAAAGAAATAACACCTCGCGAAGTGCTTAATACATAACATTAAAGAGTCTACTAGTTTTGAAAGTGATCCCTAAATGCATCAGGCAATTAACTAAATGAAGTACAAATGTTCAAAAGGTGAGCCGTAACAGTTATCAAATCCTTTGGAAAAGTTGTATATGTTGCCAAGCAATCATTATTGGAAACTACCGAATAAAGCTGAATTAGTTGTCCCAATGCCATATGTCTTAGTAGAACGGATTGGTAGAGAGCTAGACGTATATTTAGCCCCAAGAATTTGAATTTTTTGCGCACCTTAGCGAAGGTAAGGCGTGAAAATGTTCTGACAATGACGACCTTCGGTTATGTACACTGCGAGAAATTCACAACGAAATGGAGCATAGTCGAAGTCTCCACTTAGCATACATCTCAGAGTGAGAGCGAGTGGGATGGCTTCTACTGTATCTAGTATCTGTCTGATTTAAAAATAAACCTGTTGATAGATACACGAATCTCGGATGCGAGAAATATGGCAGCTATTTATGATTTGCCGTAGAATTTGTTTATATGTTCACGGAAAAAAAAGTCAAATTGGAGCAACGATATTCGTATCGAATATTAAATCCAAAAGTTCGGAGAGTATTTATCCAGATATTTTACGTAGGCGATGTGTGCGTTTGTTTCTCTGTGTGTGAGTGTATGTTTTTCTATGTGTGCGTGTGTGTGATTTCTCTCTCTCGAGATCCCTTGTTCTCGCTTTGGTCTATTTTCAGGCACTTTCCGAGCGATTTCAGCTTTTTTGAAATGTATCTTGTATCTGCGGAATACATTTTTAGCTTTCGGCACGCACACACACGCATACACGCACACACACGGCAACTTCTTACGTAAGTGGCAAGCCAATACAAGAAAAAAATTCTTTGCAAAGTCAAGTCAAAATAATGTTGAAAAGTATTTCGATGCAATTTTAGACACTTGGTAACTTGTATCACTTGAAAAAAATAGCAAAAAAATTGTTCAAAAAAATGTTTGAATCCTCTGGGCACACGAACACGATTTCGATCAGGTCCAGATGTATATACATATATAAATATATATATATAGATACATATATATAGATACATATGTTTAGCATATGAGAAAGGACTGAGGATTGCACATTTGTTTTTCTTTGCATTCGCATATTGCAGTTTTCTGTTTTTCCTTTCCGCTTGTTCTTGCATTGTTATTCGTTATTCGTTGTCGATGATGGTGATGTTTTTCTTGGCTTTTTGAATGTTGCTCCGCTTCAAGCACTCACCTTCAAGGAATTAGAAAAAAAAGAAAAAAAATTCGGCTGTGCTGTCGATCACACGAATCGGATGATACTGAACGACACAAAAAGACTGAACGGTCCGACGATCCACGGCAGACTATATTCTAGCGGCCAGCCACCCAACGGATACAGATACGGATCGTTGTTGATCGGATCGTCTAGTTCGGCTCGGTTCCGTTGTGTTCCGAAAGCCAACCGTTAGCCGCCCACCTGCCCACCGTCCTTCACGAATGGGCGAGAGCGAGAGAGAGCGAGCGTGGCTCGGGGGCCGGGGTTATGTATCTGGGCGTGAGGTCCAAAAATAGACCACCCAAAACTGACATGGCAGAGCAGCACAAACCAAAATCGAAATGGATACCGAAAACTGTTCGGCTCACGATTGCCGCAGCCGAGTGGCGAGCCGAATCGATTCCGAATCCGAATCCGATTCCGATCCCGATCCCGTAACTCCCGCCCCGTCCGAACTGTTACCCGTAAACCCCCTCCGAAAATACCGCTTGGAGAATCTCTGTATCTTTGTATCTCTGTATCCGCATCTGTGTTCACAAAATCGTATCTGCAGTGCTCGGTGTGTGCTGGTGTAAACGGAGCCGCGTGGAATTCAATGCAATGGATAAAAATAAGTTTTGCTCCAGTTGGGAGGCTACGCGATGGCGGTGCAGTCGAACTGCAATGAAAATCAGGGGCGGCATCCTCGGGTTTTGCCAGCCCTGAATAAAAACTAAAAAAAAAATATTAGCGCTAGTTCTGGGAAATCCAGACTAGATAAACTAGTTAAGGGAGGATAAGGAAAATTAAGATATTATAGTGGTAAATTATCTATCTAAATTTATTGTATTAGAGTTCAACTGCAGATACTAAAGGACTTGAATAAGATATAAAACTCCTATACAACATTGGTTCTAATAAATATAACTTATATTGTATTGTTACTAAAAGACTGCATTTTGCTGGAAAAATGGGTACATAATCCCGATATTTATAATATATTTTTATATATCTGAAAAAATAAATACACATATTATAATGCAATACTGTTACAAAATGGGGAATCCCATAGAGACTAGGCTACTTCGATTCTCCGATTAATAACATTTAATCCCATCAATTCACAGGTCTCGAAGTAATTAGCATTCAACGGAATTATTCATTTGAAAGGTTTTCCTTAGACCGTGCCACTTTGGACTTGATCTAGAAAAACCATTTTAACGATCTGCTTCATGTTGTTCGGCTATTTATCTTGCATGTTGTCCGCTGACATAACTTTAAACTTTCGAATAGTGTATTCCGAGCGAATCGTACGAACATATAGCCTATATCCGTCTTGTTAATATTAATGTTTTAGCTGAATTACTTTGGCATCGTCAGTCTAAATATAATGTATATATGGAATATGGCCAAATACACATATTTATTTTCTATATGTAATGGTAAACGGTGCGAATGACGCTGCAACACACCTACTAAAGTCGAAGCCGAAGCCCGCCAGATGAAAATCACGCATACGCCCCGTAGACAAAACGACTTGCAACGTTTGTTGAAAGTAATTTTCGAATTTCGCCGAGAACGAAAGACGAATAAAACGTTTCGATCACGAAACCATGTCTATATATATCGTATATGAAGTTAGATATACATAGGCTTCGCTATACGTATGTTCCGATTCTATAAACTTTCAGCAGGAAAGCAAAAACAAAATATTGTTGAAAATAATGTTGCTTTTGCTATTCTGCGCCTCTCGTTGTTCTTGGCATTTTCTGTTTCTTGTTGTTGATTTTGATTTTCTATGGCTTGTTCTAGCTCTATTTCGAAATGTATTTTCGATGATTTCTATTTTGTTTTTCCCCATTTAAATTTAGAACTTGGCTTCCAGGGGGGAAATCGAAAAGGCGACTGCGGAAGGGCAGTGGGTTAGCTTGGGGCAAAATGTTTTCGTTTTTCGTTTTTCGTAGGGAACTTGATCAGTTCGTCTATGTCTGGACGAATCTATTTTCGCCTTCATTCTCGTTGCGAGCGTTTTAAACAATTCCGCTGCGCGCCCAAGCAATTTTTGCCTTAATTTATGAATTTCGAAAATGTTTTTCTTTTGAAAACACTTTCTAAATTGTGCTTTATTTTTGGCTCTTTGGCAAACAGGAAATTATGCAGCGGGAGGGGCGACAAATATTAAAGTTACTTGGAAGCATAGTACTAAAAGAGTAAAACAATAATTTATTATGAAATTAAGTACGCTTTCATAAAGCAAACTGGCAAAGGCAGCGAATCGAGCTTAATTCGGGGTTAAAGGCGAACCATCGATGGTCAGCCTGCTGCGAGTGCGTCAAAGCAAAACAAACGTCATAAGCCCCCCTGCGCCGCCCACTGTGGGCGTGGCCTTGTAATGTTCGCTCTACCTGACAACTATTTGTCGCTGCTGTCATCGTCGTCTGCCCGCCGAACTCCCCTTCCTGCTGCCGCTGACCCATTTAGGGTTATATATACACAAGCAGGCACTCGCATCCTTATCCTCCCTGCACCATATACATATATATAAATATTTGTATGTATGAACATATATTTATATATGCTGCATGCAGTCGCACCATGTACGTTGGTGGTGGCGCACTCATTCGCTTACTCCGGAAGGTCCTGCGAAATTTTAAATAACACTGCCCAAGTTGGGCTCAGAGCTGCACGGTTTTCGCAAATTTAATGAACTCAACTAAACGGATTATAGTTTCAAATGCGTTTCGCATGTATTGGCTGCGCAACCCCATGGATTAACTGCATTTATTGCAAACTCTGTCGGCCAAAGTAACTTATTTTGTTGCATTAAGGGCGGCCGAACAGCACGGACCTTGTGTTGTCGGCTAAATCTAATCAATTAACCAGAAAGGAACATTTTAAAACTGGCAATATAATTACAACTTGTCCCTCATGGAAAGCTGATGCAGTTCACTTATTCATGTAATTACCTGGGCATTTATTTAGCAAGAGCTCTGTTTAATTATATGCAGTTTAAGCCAAGAGATAGATATGTATCTATATAGATACGAATACCTTTAATTATACAAATACCTATTTAGGCATGTGTGCGTTTATTTTTGTAAAAGTGGCAAGTAATTTTCCCATACTTATTTTCCATATTTTTGTTTAGCTAGAAGTGATAAAATTAGGCAACTTTTGGTTTCTTTAAAACTAGCTCAATATTTGCCGTCGTTGTTCTTATGAATTAGTTCGTAGCTCGGATAAACGCCTATTTTTAGGGACCTGTGCTTATACCCTTGTATTTTTTCGATGGCTTTCCATATTCCACATTGATGACGTGCAGCCGCACGCACACAGACAGCCGTTCACACCGATGGCATGCGTGTGCAGCTTGTAGTGTATTTGCACTAGTTTCGTCGCCAGTGACGTCACGGTTTCCACGGCAGACGTCATCAGGAGGCAGCGAGGTCAGTCCATGCAACATGCAACATGCTGCAGGAACAGGAATATGATGCGGATTCCATGTGCACGCGTTCGTGGAAGGGAAAATGGCGCCTAATTGAGTGATGGTCCAATAAGCTGAGGTCAATCAAGGGGCCCCAATTTCCACAGCCATTCCATCCGCACTTTTGTCGATATTCGAAATGATGTGGAAAGTGATCAAATAGATACTTAAATTCTATCTATTTATTTCACTGAGGCTTTACAAGTTCAGGAGTTGTATAATAAGTTGACATCCACTCATTTAAAAACACATGATCATCAATTATTCGGAAAATTATCAAAATTAAATCTTATTGTTCCATTTTATTTTATGCTGCTCTTATGAATAAATGGTGAGTACGAATTCAATGGCTAATTAAGTGACTTTTCAATTAAAATTGTTGGTTTTTGATTATGTAAATTCCAGTTCGGTTATCCAAAAAGACTAACACAATCGATTTAAATTCGAGAGCGATTAGCAACGATTTGTGCTGAGTGCTTTTGTTAGCCGACGGACGTCATTGGTCTTCATTAGCCAAGTCACCAATGCACATCTACATCCAGTTTTCCACATTTTCATCGAGGGGCTGTCACCTCCATTCACTGCTGACGTTTGCCACTCCGTTCTTGCCTTGAAATGCTGCAGTTTTGTGAATGAAAGTCGCCAGCGTCATCAATGGGCGTCCCATTCCGATTGCGAGTGGGCGTGGCGCTATGGCAACAGAAATGCAAAAGCCAAATAAATGTCATGCAAGTTAAGCTGCTGGGCGGAGTGGCTGACTGGCTGGCTGGCCATGTGGATGCCCCATGTCCTTAACCCATGCTCTGGCCCATGGAAATGTGCTCCCTTTGTCCCGTTTGCCACCCAATTGGTTCTGATTGGAAACACCTTATCTGGCCGGACTCCATGACTTAAGCGACACCATTGGATACACACAATGGGAGGACTGTCGAGCGGAAGGCGAGTCTGGCGCTGGAAAGATGGACAACATAGATGCACTGGCCATTGCAATTGATCCACTCGAACTTTTCCCATGGCTCCATTGGATTGCCACAGATGCAGATTTTTGGCCTGGATAAACGAAAATAACTCTGTATAAAAGGTGCATAAAAGTGGGCTAAAAATAAGTATATCATACTATGTTTTCGGCATAGCTTATCATAATTACAAACTTTATATAAATTTTATGTGCAACTATTGTAGGATTTGAGCAAACCCTCCCAAATCTGTAGATATAGCATCACATGAATCAGGAAACCCTCTATTATTCGCCAGACACTTGCATGAACGGCAATCGACGCATTCCTCGAAGAGAATCGCCCACCGATTACCGCTCTATATACGACTGTATATATAGCATATAGTCCGATCTACCGACGCACATAATCGTGTTTGGCATTAGAGCGAAATCCATGCATGCACATCACATAGTGCCGAATAATCGGACGCAGCTATATGGGATGGTATGGTATACAGAATGGGGTCCATATAGACGCCCATACAATGTATATAACGTGTGTATATGTGGCATAATAAAAATACGCAGCTCTATACATTTGTTCTTTCTATTTTCTTGGCCCGTCTCATTCTCGTTGTTGGCAGCGACAACCAGTCCGTTTGTCTAAAGATATAGCCACCTCCTGGCCATATTCCCACCTACTCTATTGGCCAAGCATCGAAGCATCGAAGCATCCTATTCTATACACCTGGTCA